CCCACGAACCGCACAAATTTGCGATAATTTGCGGCTGTTGTCGCGCCTCGATCGGCATATCCCCACCATTCCATATATCGCCACACCCACTTGGCTACACAGGGGGAAAAACTATCTTAAAACATATATTTATAATAACCAATAATATAAAAATTTAAATTTATCAATTATAACACAATTTTATTGTGTTATATTGATTGTATTGTATTGTATTTTATTGTACTTAATCTTATTTTTTAATTTACTGAATCTTTTAATTAATTATAGTATATTAATAAAGAAATATTATCATCAAAAATTACTTTAACTTATGTGTGTGACGTTTTTGGTAAGAATACAATAGTGACGAAGTCTTGAAGTGTATAAAATATATGTATATATGTATAAGCTTAACAACTACTTTATGTTAACTTATTTTTAAAGGCTTGTATGTAAATACTTAGAACAAATTAAAAACAAAGTTTTCAATACCTGTAGATATTGATTAAATTTAAAAACTTGTATTTTAGTCATGATAAAACAAATTGCTTATCGCTATTATGGAGCACCTTTTTTCAGTGTAATAAGCTACATGCCACACCTGGCATCTCATAAAAAACTCATTAAATAATGGCCCTCGTTTGCGAGCTGATCAAAATTTTAATTAATCAACGGAGTGCTCGAGCGCTTTCTCCCTCTCTGTCACACTTGTGTTTGCTGTCCCTGTCGCACTTTCTGGGAACGGGGGTATTACCTGAGCTAAGCCACGCCACCCGCCCACAATTTAGACGAGTCAGCCGTTTCCAAAGGCAGTTTCGAGGCATCGATAATTGGATTGAATGCGCCGATCCTCGGGCCAAGCTGCCAACCATTTCCACGGCCAGATCCCGCGGATTTCCACAGGCTTTTCCTTGGTTTAAGTTCGGGGATTTGCGAGATCTTCTGCTGTCGATCTTTTGATCGCTCCTGATCCACGTCGACTGATCACTGATCTGCGACTAAGCATTCCAAATAGTTGCCAAATATTTAATGGAATTTTATTAAGTCTTGCGCTTAGCCGAAACGGAAGTCTTTATCTTCTTATTTCTTAACAAATAATTATTTTATCTTTTTACCTTTAAAAAAAATTGTTTTAGAAAAAGTTGTTTTAAAAAAAATAAATTTCAAACTCTTCATTTTTAGGGTACTTAATTCGCGTTATTAAAATTCAATTAAAGCTTACTTTTTTGGTCAGACAAACACAAACAGTCTCGAATCATCTAAGGAAACCCTTTCAATATTCAGTGGACATTTTTAATTAAATCAGTGCCCATGGCTGCAGCCGAAAACGCTCAATTATAAAAACAAATAAAGCCAATTAGCTGTGTCAACACGGAGCGCTGGTCGATGCTGGAAACTTGTGGATGGCCAACCCCTATAGCAATTATGCTTTCGCTAAACAATCATCTCCATCCCCCTGCCGCCATTCAGAAACCCTTTCCCCTCGATCACCACGGCATCCATGCCGAGGAGAAGCTGTTTTAATTGACACTGAAAAGCCGTCGCCATCATCGCGATTCCGACTTCCCAGGCATCAGAATCATCAGCATCCGTGGGCTTCCATTTGTGCGTCCAATAAATACGCTAACGAGACGAGGGCGCTCACAGATACTCTTAAATTGTTCTGAGATAATGTATCTGTGTATCTGGCAGATGGGCAAACGGGGAAGATAGCCTGGAAACTGCAGCATAAACACAAAATTCTAAGGCGGCATAATTAATTTTTACTCAATAATTGCTGGCAGGTACAGATACGAACCCTTAAAAATTCCGCTAAAGTTTTATAATGAGAGGAAATAATATAAATTATATTAAAAATAAAGCTATTTGAATTAAGTTCTATAAATTCTTTTATAAAATTTAAAGTCTTCTCTGTATAACATTTAAAATATTTTCCTTTTATGGCAACTTCTTCAATTTGTAACGTAAACAACATTTTAAATTTAAACTACTAATTTTGGGATAAAAATGAATTATCGAAATTTTTTAATCATTAATCACTCTAGTAATTACTAAAATATATAAAATTTTTTTCTAGGCCAATTTTTTAAGCAACACTCTTTTCAAATCAATATAGCACATTAAATAGCTTTAAATATTTAAAATTAAATCAAAATAGAATTCATTTTGTGTTAAGATGAGATATTTTAGTTTATGATTTTAACGCTAATATTTTAAGATACTCGTAATAAAAGTTAAAAAGTATACTTTATTCGATTAGTTCTGCAGAATATTAAAGGACTTCCTTTAAAAAAAAAAATAGTTACTACTTTAATTGCTATGGTGCTGGTATAAGTAGAGATGTATTCCCTCTGTGTCAAGGAGACATTGAGTGCCAGCCAACCAGATACAGATACAGACACAGTGTAGCCTGCCCACTGAAAACCCCTCTTATCTCCCCGCCCCTGCGAAAAACCCCCCGCTGGCATCTGGCAAAGCCGTGCAAAGTACTCGTGATAATGAGCTCCATCTCGTTGGCAATTATTAAATGAATTGGATTTATACGATGTGGCACCCATCTCTCTTCCCTTTTCCCACTGGCATTCTGCCTCCCGCTCACTCCAATGGAAATAGTGTCCAACCCCTTGTTAGCAGCTGTCGCCTACTGTTGTCCCTTTCTCGCCCACAGAGATAAGGCCAACAGCCAATCAACGACAGCTGTCGGTTTATCTGGCTCGCTGGCTGTGGAACATGGAAACATCTTGTGGATTGCATTTCCCATATGCAGAGAGACCGGGACAGACTAATACCAGTGTGAAATGGAGTATGGAAGAGGGTGCTTCCAATGGAGCAACCTAATTTTAGGCGGCTTTAATTAGTTTACTTAAGAAACTTCAAGGGAACTCTTCATCCTAGATATTGTATTACTATTATTGTATTAGTTACTCAATGGTAATAAGCAGATGAACTGAGTGGAGGCATAACAGGCATAATTATTAAATCCGTTAAGAAAGACTTTTCATGGGCTATATTTCTTTTATCAGTTTTTATTGATGTCATTGAAAATTTTGATAAGCGAATGAAAATAGTTATGCACCATTACTATTAACATATTTCAATTTGAGTAAAACTTTCATTTTCCAAGACAAAAATTTTAGCTATATTAATCTATATGTAAAAAAATTATTTACTTGTTTATTTTTATTAAAAACCTTAAAAAATAATACACAAGTAGTTAAGCAAACCACATTCCGTTGAGCCGTAAATAAATCAATATCGCAATTCGGTTTTTTAGCGTGCCCATTCTCCTAAGCCAAAACTAAAAACCTCTAAAAGTTACATCGCGTTTTGCGAGCTGATAAACCAGGCATTTGCTGCATTTTATCTTTTCGGCCCACCTTCTGGTCATATATCAAGAGCGGTAAATGCCAGAAAATACGCCCCGAAAATCATTGATTGGCGATCGATAACCTTTTGCAGTGATGCAGCAGCCCATAAAGTTCTCTCCCAGCTCATTGTCTGACTAATTAAATGATTTATCCCGAAACGTGAGCGAAAAAGGAAAAAAAAGAGTAAAAACCAATTACAATTACCGCCCCAGAGGTGCCACACTCACAGGAACGCAGATACAGATACTCGATTCTCGGGTGCATCTGCGGCAGCAAAGCTGCTGGCCCATCGACAACCGGCCTTATCTAGATGCATACAAATCCAGCCAAGCGCACGTCAATTTATTTGCCAACCTCTCGGCTCCTTTCGGCCAACATCCATTCATGGCCAAAAGAGGAGGAGGGGGGCTCGAATCGCATGTATTTACCTATGAGAGGGCTGCGACGTTGGCGCTGCATGTTTTATGCCTCCTCCTGCATCTTTAACGAGGTGTTTATTTTCACAACTCACAGCCGGCGGATGAGGCTGAGGATGACCAGATACAGATACAGATACAGATGCGGAGTATCTGTGAGTTACTCGCTGCGAGTGTGCGCCGGCAACGCAGTTGCATTCCGCCGAAGGTGTAGAAACCAAGTTACCGCCCATTTTCATGTCCAAATGCTTTCGACCAACATGATGCAGATGCCAATTCGAGCCAATTCAGAATGGTGGAAAGGCCAAGGGCCGGGCGGATGGTAAGGGGACAGTGGGGCCAAGAGAACTACGGGGGAGGGGGTTAAAGCCAGCACTGACGACGGGGCGTCTAAGCTATATAAGCGATGACGTTGATGTCGGTGCACAGTAAATTCGAAAAAAATGATTTCAAAAACATTTCTTACAACTTCTTTAAGCTAAGAAAATTCTTAGTAACTAAAAATAATATTAATAATAATTTTAACATTTTCTGTAAGTTAATTTAGAACAATATTCAAAATATTACTTAAATTTGTATATTATTGCCATAGTCTTAACATTAATATCGAATAAAAAATTGTGTTAATCATAGTTTGCAAACAAATTAAATTGATCAAGCTTTTAAGTGCAGATTAAATTAACAAAGATAAAATGTTTATAGGACCTTGTGTTAATTCATATATACATAGCTCACATAGCCCATAATATTTACTTTCAAAAACACTCAAAAGTACAACTATTTTTACCCACTGTTCCAATGTCCTTCCCACCTTCCCCCCTCTACACCCCATCAAGCTGGCCAACCCGCTTGGCACTAAAACCACAAACGCTTTAATGATGCTGTTTTGTTTAGCGCAAATTGTTTGTTTCGCTGTCATAAACTGGTGCGAAAAATGGCCAAGAGAGTAAGAGAGAGAGAGAGAGATTTTGGCCCCCTCACACACACACACACCTACACCCACTCAGAGAGCGGGAGAGCGAGCGAGAGAGGAGGTGGCCCCATTCGGAGCAGAGCAGGTTTTGGAATTTTGACTAGACTATACCCTTACTACTTTGGCGCAGGCGCAGTACGATGAACGAGCGAGCGAGACGCCTGGTACACTGCTCCCACTGGAATCAGAAGCGGATGAAGAAGAAGCAGCGTTGGCCCCACTAGCTTTTTGCAGCTTTCCATCGCGACACTCGAGCCAAAACGCTCAGCGTGAGAGCCACGCAGCGATTCGCCGACGCCCCCGCTTAGATAAAGAGAGAGAGGAAGAAGGAGAACCGGGAACGAGAAAGAGAGGGCGAGCGGTGGAGAGGAGCCAACACCAACAATTAGACGCCTTTAGACGCTCCATAATGCTAATGGCGTTGACAGTGCTCATCATCATCGCAGCGCGGCCACCGCAATCGTTTCGTTACCGCGTACCGTTATCCGTACCGCCACCGTCAATCGCCGCCGTCAATCGTCCATCGAAGCGGTACGGTCACGCTCCAATCGCCGCGTCGTCGCCGCTCCAGTTTATCAATGTCAATCGCCGACGGATGCCAACCGCTGGAGCATCGCAGATACAAAGCCATAGCTATAGCTATCTGATCTGAAAAACAGTGCGTGTGTGCTTATCTACTATCTAGTAACCAGAAACTAGTAACCACCGTACGCGATCGTGTTTCCATAACCCCAACCATACGAAGATCGATCAATACTCCCGTTTCCGATTCTTTTAAAATTTTGCTGTTTTCCAATTGATAATAGGGTAGGTGTGTGTAAGCCTAGCTTGTTTTGTATAATTCTTATTTTTTAAAACTTTAACTAAATAATTAAATTAATAATTTGATATTAGAGCTCCATAATAATATAAAATTAAGATTTAACCAGCTTTAAGTTTTTTTTATCAATATCTCTAAACGATTTCACTTATTGGGAGCAAATGAATTTCCATTTCCATGTTAATTTTAGGGTTGTCTTAAAACTTTATTAATATCAAATCAATTTAAACTTAAATAGTCTCGTCGAGGCTTATATTGACTGATAAACTTAACGTTCATCCTAAATGTTTGACAATTCAGCAAATGTAAAAAATTTATCGTAGTTTACCAGATTTTTAGCAAATGTTAATTCGTTTAGAAGGTATTTGGCCAATTTTTATTCAATTAGAAAACGGAAACAAGGGTGATGGAATTGATTACACGTTTATTTATAATCTACTTCGACTTGCAGAGACTTCGACTTGAGAGAGTTCGAGTTTGAGAAGTTGGGCAGTGCTTTATTTACTTTTTCAATCGAATAAACCCCTACCAAATGGTCACCTGCGGTCGGCAAACGTTCAACATGCTGCCCATGGCGCCGACGAGTCCTTTTGTCAGCAACAGCTCCTCGATGGCCGCGACCTCCACTTCCGTTTCCGCCAGCACAGTTTCCGCTTCGGCAGTAGGCAGTAAGCCCAAGCTGGCCTTCAGCATCGACTCGATCGTGGGCGAGTCCTCGACGAGATCGGCTCCCTTGAGGGTCAGTGTGATATCATCGCCACCGCCGCGCAGCGAAAGTCCCGCCTCGCCGACGAACACAAACAACAGTGGCCGGCGCACGCCCCGCGGATATATTTACTGCCGAAGGCGGGATTCGCTGGACAGATCGCGAAGTCCACAGAGATCGCCGGTCAGCCACTCGCCAACGCCTCCGAATGCCGGTGGAAATCCCCCAGCGGCGGCCATCCACAGTCCTCCAAAATCAGCGGACTTACCCCAGGCAACTGGAAATCCACCCGCCCCAATTGGAACCCTCATCCGTCCGATGCCGTTGCCGGCGCCAAATCTAGCTTTAATCCAGAACCGCACCTCGCCGAACAGCATTGCGGTTCGAATGGCGGGTCCGCCCCACCCGCCACCGCCTCCGTTCCTCGCCGCCCAGTTCCAAATGGCCGCTGCACTAGCCCATCACCACCAGCAGCAGCAGCAGCAGCAACAGCAGCAGCATCCGCCCGTGCCAACCGGACCGCCACATGGTCCGCATCCGCATCTGCCGCCCGGCCAAATTCCAATGGGTATTTTCCCGGGCGGACCGCACCCGGGACATCCGCCGCCCCACGGTCATCACCCCTTTGGAAGCGCTCCACATCTGATCCGTGATAGCTATCCGCTGTATCCATGGCTGCTCAGTCGACACGGACGCATTTTTCCAAGATTTCCGGGCAGTAAGTACTTTTTTTTTGTTACAACTTTTTCAAAGACTTAAGGAGTAACATATTTAAAAGTCAGTTAATAATTACTATTAAGCTATTACGTAAAAAAAAGCTATATAATACAATGCACTACGGTCTACTCACCGTACTTTTTGAATATGTTTCGCTTTAGCCAGTTTTTTCTAGTCATTATAGCCGTTTCAAATGGCCGCTGAATGCCATAAACCAAAGAGAAAAAGAAACCACACCCAAAATTCATATTTGAACCCCTTTTCCACCGCCATTATATTATAGTAGAGAGAACCTCAATCAAGCAATTATTCAGTTATCGCTGTTGTTGCCGCGCAGCTCCATATAATTAAAGTTAAATAAGCAAATGGCAAACATTTATTACAAGTTAATTAGACGTGTATCAGCCTCATCATCATCAGATGGACAAGGACGGGAACAGAGGGAGAGAGAGAGAGAGGGAGCGGGAGAAAGGCGAACCAAACCCATTTTGATAACTATTTCCAAACAAATTACATTTTAATTAAATTGTTTAAACAACATTACACACATCGTTAGGTCAAGCAGCGTACCTAAATGGCCAGCCAAGTGTGTGTGTCTGTTTTTTTTTTGTATTTTTTTCGAAATTACCATTAATGGCCAACAGACGGCGCCAGTTGTTGATATGGCGGGCCCATGCGGCGTATGTGTAACGTACGAAAAGTGCAACCAGTGAAATGTTAATGCGTTTTTAATTGAGGTTTTGGGGCAACCAAGCAAAGAACTAAAGAACAAAAAAAACGGAGAGATAGAAACGAAGAGCAACCACAAAGCGCATCTCAAAAACATTGTCATTTATTACGCTTTAACCACTTTTTTCATACGCTGGCCTCATAATTACCATTTGAATTTCCAGGCCATGTTGTTTTTCTCTTCTTTTTTTGGCTGGGTAAATATAAAATAATTTTCGGCACACTCACACGCCTTTCACCTGCCCAAGTGTGCATATATCCCCGTTACGCCTTAATTATGTTGTATGCCGTTTCATTATTTTCTCCCTTTTCCCTTTCCCCATTTCCCGCTCGACTTCTCCTTCGTTTTTCTCACTTTTCTCCGCGCTGCCTGTTATTTTCGCTTGATTTATGAACGTGAAATGTCAATGTTTCGCATAACGATTTCATTAATTGTAAATGTTTTTCGTCTTCGTTTGTTTCGTAACTCGTGTGAGTAATACCAGGTTACATGGGTTTGTTTTTTGTTTTTGAGGAGGTTGGTTTACAAGATAATGGGGATCATCGCGATAGCGATGATGATGAGTCAGTAACTTAATTCAGGTTGCACGTGCTGCAATTTGTGGGTGTGGCACTCTAATGCAGCTGATGAAGTTCTAGGAAAAGGGTAACATTAACCAGGTTGAGATCCCTATTATGAAGGGCTTAAATATAGGGGATTATAAAAGGACAAGCTGTTTATTTATCACATGCTCCTTACAATTTATGTTAAATAAGTAAAAGCCTCTATAATAACTTTAATAATCTATCAGAGAGCAAATCATTAAAGGCTCTATTAAATTGTTTTTAACTAAAACTAATAAATCCGCAAAACGTTCGAATAGTGCCAAAAAAAAAAAAACAAATTCCTTTTACTGTGTTTGGTTGCTATACTGGTTATTTGTAGATTGGACTTACTCCAAAGTCATTAATTTAACAACTGCAACGATTTGGTACGTGAGTTTATTCGTAGCTCATTAAAAATCTACGGTACGGCTACGAAACTCTACAAATGGATTAAGAAGTTTTTATTTTACTTAGTTGATTTGTTTCCGAGTGTACCCACAATTAAACAAATAAATAAATAAATAAATAAAATATATTTAAGTTCAAAGAATAGTGAGTCATATAGATATATTCCTCTTCCTAATTTTTCCCTTAACTAAAAAGTAATATCAATGACTTTTTTCTACCCCCATTTAAAACCATTATCCCGAAAAACCCACAAAATCCCATTCATGCACGCCAACTGCAAATGGCGAGTCCCGTCAAATCGATCATCACAACATCCCCGACTGTCGCTTTATTTGATTTCAATTATCGATTTCGAGTCAATGTCCTTGGACGCACGGCTCTCGAGGAATGCAATAAATTAATGAAAAAATCATGAGCATAAAAATTAAGCCCTAACTCCATAAAAAAGAAAGCAAATACAATTGCACACAAGTGATAAATAATAAGGCGAACAAAAAGGCCAGGACAGTCGAACAAACGAAAACGAAACGAATCGCATCGATCGTCGCATCATGAGCCAAAAAAAAAAAAAAAACAAAAAACAAGGTACGACGTATATCTAAAAAAATGACAGCTGACAAGGGTGTGAGCCACTGCAAATCCAACAACATGGCCAGCAGAGCGGACACATCAATTAATTGTCAATTGCGCGTATTTTCGCACGGCGGTTTCCTTTGTGTCCACGAACCTAAGAGAAAAAAATAAATACACACACTTCATTGAGAGCTGCTGCGGAGCTAGAAAAAGAGGCAGAGAAAAAATAATTAAGTGGCCATTGTGAGCGGCGGCATTATCAATTATACAGCTTCTTCTAAGGCGCTGGGCAGTCGTGTATCTTGTAGCTACATTGTTAGCTGTCAAATGTAACAAATGTCAAGCGATCGTCGCGGACTATAAAAAAAAAGAAAAAACTAGAGCACTCTGGATGCTGCGGCTACCTCTTGGCAATCGTTTGTCAAGTTCATAGCAAAAACCAGGCACGCAGTCAGTCAGTTGCATCTGTCAGATACACAGATACATGGCCATCAATGGTTCGAAGCTGCATTTATGAAGTGTCGAACTGACAAGTTCCCGTTCCCGTTCCTGTTCCCGATCCCGAACCCTCTTGCTCCTGAGCCCTTTATTGTTTTTCCAGCCCGACAGTGCTAACAAGATACATTTCTGGGGTTGTATCTTGTGTCTAATGGCTTCGCGCCCTTTCGCCTGCTTTTCTCCATTAGCTGTTTATTTTCACAATGGCTTAGCTTCTGTTTTGTTGCGTGGACTTCCTGCCTCCGAAATCGATTCGATTCTGCTATGTCAATATTGATTTTGTAATTGGCACACCTTGCGGGTGCCAGAAGATCCTGTGGCTTAGGCTTGTTCACCAAATTATATCATAACAAATCTAAGAAAGAATAGTTAGCTTAGGGATCAGAAATGAAGTTAAATAAGCCAAGATTTTAAGCCTGGTATTTTAAGATGACAGTTTTATGACTAACCAAAGAAAGATACTAAATGAGTAATTGCAAGGATTGACATCCCAGTTGAAGTCAAATGTAAGACCGAATTCATAGAGGTATGCAATTCCTACTCGTTCATTTTTTTTTAATTTATCCAAAAGTTTGCCCAGTTCCACTGTATTCCATAATTTTTCGCCCAGCAAATTCCCCTGCACCGTCAGAAATCTCAGCTGCATCTCGCACAGTAGCCCCTGCCTCATATCAATATTCAAATTGTGGCTCAATTGAAAATTTGTTAACTGGCAACCGCAAAAGCGGCAGTGGACTCGGCTACGCGGAGGAGTCGGGGATGGGTATGGGTATGGGGATCAGGGCTTCCAGAAATCGTGATAAACGTTAAAACATCACGTTGTGCTGGCTAGAAGAACAATGGGTCCTCGGTCCTCCAAAGAGGCGTCGTTGGCGGCTTTTAGGCGCGCTAAAGTGTTCGGCTTGGCGTCCAGGCTAAAAGGAAGAAAGCCAGCAAAGTCTTGGCCGGACCAATTGTTTTGGCCTTATCAGCGATTCTGGGACATGGCCCAAACACACAGCGCCGACAGCGGCACGAACCAGAAGCCTTTGTGTTTGCTGGCCCATGTCTGGAAATTTGTTTATTGTTTTGTAATGAGCGTGTGCAACATGTGAGTGGCCAGTGTGCGGCATCTTTGCTCGCGGCATTCGCGGAATTCATAATCAACAATTTGAGGCACAACGTCATCTAATTGGCAGAGCCACCAGCGAAGGTTGAACTTCTCTTGTTACCTGTTGGGGTATATAAAGCAAGCTGCCACTATATTATAGACTATTCCAATATAAAACTTAATATTTAATAACCAAAAACTCAATCAAGCCGATTTGTGTAGGCAATACTAAACATTATTTTACTTCGTATACTCGCAAAATAGCAAACGTATGCTAAGAGTTCAATAAATTAACAATTTAATAATTTAATTATGGCAATTTGATTACTTTAGTAGACATCCCTTTTTTAAGGAATCCGATAAGGCTGTTATTTTTAACATAGTTTTAAAAATTGATAATAGACTGTAATACACTTTTATTTATAAACCAATTACATATTTATGATGCCATTAATTCAGTGAATAATTCTTTTTTGAAGAGGCCATAGAATTTTATTACAAATTGTTAAATTAAAGTAAATCAATGCTAGGGCTGAACTTTAAAAACTTTTAAAATTTGTTTATCAATTTAAAATTTTAAATGTATTTATCTTAGTAAAATGTAATTAAATTTACCAATGCCAAACGAAATATTTGGATGCTTAAAGGCTTTACATGTTAAAAATTTTCATTTTGAATTTATTGAAATGGCTTCAATTTGCTGTTAGTCCACAGTAAATTGGTGTATGTTTTTGGATAAATCGGAGTTCACTTCTAGTTAAATACTTACTTATTCAGGGTTAACCCAAGGGGCCACCCATTATAACCGCTTTTTAACTCAACTCACTTTCCCGATCTCTTGCAGATTTCCTGTTCCAGCCATTCCGCAAGCCGAAACGCGTTCGCACCGCCTTCTCGCCGACGCAGCTGCTCAAACTGGAGCACGCCTTCGAGGGGAATCACTACGTCGTGGGGGCGGAGCGCAAACAGTTGGCCCAGGGACTCAGCCTGACCGAAACCCAGGTGAGATGGGCTTCATTGGGTGGGTGCTGGGATGGCAGCCCTTAATGCGCATCAAATTCAATAAGCACCCCCAGTTCAACCCCTTTGGTTAGGGGCTAAGTGATTGCATGTCGTCTGGTCGTTAGCCCAAGAAGTGCCGGAGCTACTGAGTTATTAGCGCTTCGGGAGGGACAGGGGATCGGGTTAACAGTGGCCCATGAGGTCTGGCACTTGACTTTGCACCCTCGGGGGCATAGCTGGGAGGCAGTCCGTAAATAGAATTAAAAGACTCGTTAAATTTATTTACGACTTGCCAAAAAAAACAAGAGCGGAAAACAAAAGGCAAATGAAAGGGTAAAGAACCCTCCCCCCGAAAATAGCTACCCCGAGCCCAATTGTTTCCTGTAAGTGCACTAAGGAAAATATTTGTACTAAATGGGGGTTAGTACAGAAGATATTACAATACGATGGCCATGAAAGTGGAAGACTTGTAGCTTAAAACATATTCGGAAAAAATAAAAGATACAATTTTTTTAGGTGCCAACTATCAATTCTTTTTCTACATTTAAATGTAATCATTTCTCATTATAATAAAAACATTTTTTGTATTTATGTACATGTACCGATATGAAGACTGTAAGCTTTTTGATTTGTTAATTAAAGATATTGCCTGTTTTTTTGCTGTATTTAAAAATTCTTTTCTTAATTTTCATTTCTCCGACAGGTGAAAGTGTGGTTCCAGAACCGTCGCACCAAGCACAAGCGGATGCAGCAGGAAGGTGGCGATGGGAGCGACACCAAGAGCAACAAGGGCAGCTCCTCGGGAGGCGGAGGGGGTGGCGATGGGGAGGATGATGCCAAGCACGATGGATCGCAGCACAGTTACGATGATGCCGAAGATCCGGAGGAGGACGACGAGATCGAGGAGGATGACGAGGACGAGGTGATCGACATGGATGACTATGGCAGCGAAATGGATGCGGAGGAGCACCAGCGACTGCGGGAGCAATTCCAGCAGCAATTGGCCCAGCACCAGCAACAGTTCCTCCAGCAGCAGCAGCAAAGCCCGGTGGACGCAGCCACCCTCAGTCCGCAGCAGCAGCATCAGTTGCTGCAGCAGCACCAGCAACATCTGCAGCAGCAACACCAGCAGCAACAGCAGCACTTCATCCAGCAGCAACAACTTTATCTGCGCGAAAGGGAGCGGGAGAGGGAGCGGGAAAAGTCCCGAGAGAGGGAAAGGGAGCGGGAAAAGTAGTAGCTAATAGTTGCTAAACAGCTAACTCCGCTATTTTGTGTTCCTTTGATTTCATGTAAATTATTTGTCATCTGTATAGCTTAATTTAAATTGTTTACTACTTAATAAATAAATAACAAAGTGAATAAATAAAACAAATCTCAGCTTTTCAAATAAAATAAGTTGCCACAAAACCTTCTGAATCATTAATCAAACAATTATAGCATTTAAATGGGCATGCAAGTCCACATATGTTGGCCATTTATTGGCAAGCTTGTTGCCATCGCATGATAAACTCATTGCAAATGCACAGGAACTATCGATCAGCTGCCAAAATACAACCAATCAAAGGGCCCAAAAAAAAATCATATTGCTAACAAGGCTTTTCCTTTATTGAGTTGTTGATGGAAACCCTCAGTCCCTCAGTTTTATGCTAAGCATTGACAGTAAAAAGTGCAATCAACAATTACGAGCTACGGTCTCATAAGGCGGCCAAAAAATAAATGTCAGTAAGTAAAGCCCGAAATTGATGGCAAAAATTGATATTCAATATGCAAACGTTTGCCAATAAAGTAGATTTACTATACAGAAAATGCTATGGTTACATATATGCATTTGCAGCAGCCCGAAGCTAATGGGCCGGCAATTTGTGTTCATTTAAAGCGAAAAGCGAACTAAACCTGAAATTAAACTGACAAAACGGGAGGAGATCACAAAGTGGCCCAAAATATATGAGCCCGCTAGCAATGGCAAGCCGAAAAAAATATAAAAATATAAATAAATTCACCGCTTATTTTGATATGGCAGGTTAGGCTCTGGCGATCCGGCGAAAAGTTCAAGGTAATTGCCGTTGTCAAAGCAGCGCAACGAAAAGTGGGCGGGCACCGTGAAAACTTGACCAACAATTTATGGGCCACTTGACTACAAGCAAAGGGTGTTGAGGTTGCACGCGAGCAATCAGCAGAACAGCAGAGCACCCCAGGTTCCAACACTCTGCACTGGGGTAGAATGCCTGGAAAATTCTCGTATTTTGCATAAACGATGTGAGAATTACTTAATTGCGCTTGGAATGGGCCCATGCCCACATATGCAATTATATATATCGGTTTGGTCTGCGTTTCCTATGTGGGCCGCGAATTTATGAGTCTTTCGGTTCACCCACAAAATAAAGTTGTCTACGGCAATGTGCAGGTGTCTCAGCTGCTCGGGATTCGGGTGGTTACTTCAGTGCACTAGAGGGTGGCATCTAGAGAAGGGGTGGCCGTCACCAGGCACTTCATTTTGTTTGCCCCTCTGATAGCTAAACATTTTGGCCAATTTGTGACTTCGTTAGGTGGCAGCTTGAATTAAAATTCATCCACATGTTGTTGGTCATGTCGGTCAACAGTGCACAAACTAAGTGAAAATACAAATTAGAATTTTAAATTTTAAAAGATAGAAGAATTTTGGAAAAGTAATTAATAACGGCTCTGATTTTGTTTAAAAGATATCTAAGAACTAAAGCAGAAAGATTGTATCTTATTTAGTTTTTTTTTTTCATTAGCTGATTTCGGCTAGGTCTAAAAAAAACTATTCAATTAGATACAATTTATGTGCAAATGTTAATCTTAAATCTAAAGTATTATAATGATTTTAGTTTTATTATCACATTCATTAACCATTTTAAAGTACCTATAAATGCCGTTTTAATAGCTCTTTAAATACTTGCATTTATGAAGCATCTTAATGTAAATTTAAACTTAGATCAGTCAGCCATTCGAAAAAAGATTCGTTCGAAATGTTTCTTTTATTTTAAGCCTGATTAAGTCGCACGTGTTTCCTAGCAATAAATAAATAAAAGTTATATTATTTCTCCTTTATTTGAATACCAACAAGTGCATTGAAAAATCGACTTTCCCTAAGTTTTTCTTATGTTTTCCGTTGGCAAACCCTTTCGTTTGATTTTGGCGTGTCTGCCAGCCGCGATGACGAAGACAAAGACGATGGCGATGACTTTGAAAACAAAGCGAAAGGGAAATGGCTTTCAGCCAAGGCACTTGGAGCATATTAAGGGCGTCATTAGTTCCCCAGGCACTGCAAATTTGACAGGTGAAAAGAGTGAGGGGCATCACCGATTGAAGGGCCTGACACTTGCTGCAGTGCAGCAGCAACTGCAACAGCAGCAACACGGCAGCAATTGCAACACCAATAGCACAGCAGCAACATTAACCCCTTGAGGAAATTAGCAAAAATATTGAGACATTAAAAGTTATCCTTAAGAATGAAAGATGAATTTAAGTATGAACAATTTTATTAATTTCCAATGCAAATTAATTGACAAGTTCCATTTGATTTTATGGTCCTTCATTTGTATTATTTGACTTAGAAAAAAAAATTTTGCGAACAATTTATTTCAGTTAAATTGAAAAGACTGTCAAGAATGAGATATAATAAATTAAACTGTAATGGCTTGACTTATTATTAAATTAGGATGCAATATTCATTAATTAAGTAAAGAGCATGAGCTTAACCAGTAGTAATAAGAAATGATATTTGTAAGTAGTGAAAAAAAACGTTAATGCATCAAAAGTAACCAATTTTTTTAGAAAATACTTAACCCCATAAAAGTAAAAAGAACGAAGGGGTCCTAAGTCTCCCATGGTCTGCCAAACGGTTAACCCAAAACGAACGTGCTGGCAACGGCGTAGGCGTCCGTGTTGTTATTGTTGTGTCAGGTTTCAGCTATTTAGCGGCAATTTGTATGGGAAAAGTTTGCCAAATGTAAACGGAATTGCAGTTTAAACCTCATTTGGCGCACATCGTGGGCGGTCGATACGAAAAAAAACGAACCAGCAACTACTGCAATACCTGGAACAGCCATAAAAATAGTACGTTTAATAATTGCAAAGTGTTTTCTATTCGCCTTCGTTTCCAGGTCGTAAATCAGCGATTGCTCAGTCAGTCTCGGCTGGCGCCTTCTGCTCGGACGTAAATTTAATTGAAAGACTGGGCCAGAAACCCGAAGACTGGGCCAAGACCAAACCAGAGATGCCCGCCAGAGGCTTAGGCGTCAATTGGCAAATTGGTTTCCATGTCAGCCGGCAGGAAAAGTTAATTTTCTCGCCGCCATAAATAACACCCTGTTCGACTGGAACTGAGGCACGGTCGGAGGATCTCCATCTGCCGAATGGCAATAGGAATCTCCTTTGGCAGGTGAGCATGGGTGCTGTCCATTTCGATTCCAATTGCAATTCCTTTAGAGGCTATATCCAACGTTTTTTAATGCTTTTTTAATTGGAAATGCACACCAGCACGCTGATGACGCCCCGAACTGCCAGTTTTGCCATTACGTAATTGCAATTTAATGATCAAGTCGTCTACAAAGTCAACAAATAATTTTGAATAAACATTAATTAATAATTGATGCCCCGAAGCATCTAGCCAAATTTTTAATAGTTAATTTATTTTTAAATATTAATGAAAACTAATAAACATTTCATTATTATTTGCTGGCCTTTAAAAAAAGTAAATATATTTTTAAGTTTGAAAAAGGTAAAAATTTTCACAAGCAAGTTTATTTGTTTATCCATGTACAAAAATGTAAAAAAGAGTATCAAACATTCACCACAACATTTTAGAGAAGAACTTTTAATTGACTCTGTAAATTAAACACTTTAATAAGTTGCCAATTAAGCAAAAGTAGAAATTGCACGAAATTTTTAACGAATACTGTAATGCCTTTTCATTGTTAAAGTTTTCCTGCAAGTAATGGAAGTATAAATTACGGACGTGGAAAATCTTTGACAGATTGCCACACAAATGATTTGTTAATTTCGTATAATTGTGGATTTCTCAGTGTGGAAAATTTATGTGGCTGCCCTGATGAAAATTAACATTAATTAGGCACGAAAAAGCGGCAACAAATTCAATTTGATGCATTCCGAGTATATTTGAAAATTCTCTCATTTTGTGAAAATTAATGAGCGCCCATTTGGCGTACTCCGCGGCCACGCCCACAACGTGCACGCAAGCTTTGTTTCTTCGAGTTTTCGTTTCGTTCTGTGGTTTTTTTTTATAGAATCTGCCTTAGTTATATTTATAAATTAATGGCCCAAGATAAATGGCAAGTAATTTGTATAAACAGACGCTTTTGGTAACCGAATTCGGCGCCGGAACACGTTGAATGTCTTCGCTCTACTTTCTGGGAGGCCCCTAATTTTTGAAAGGGAGTTCAGAGGGTGTGCTAGCCATGAATCTCGCGTATTTTTATATCGTGTCCCTTCTTTTTGGAGGGTGTGGCAATCGGAGCAAGTTTCAGTTTTTGAATTTAAAGGAAATTGAGGGAGAAATATGAAATCGGTTGGGCCATAATGATGATGAGTTCTGATGAGTTGATGATGTATGACTCAGAGCTTGCAAAACCTGGTAAAAGTATTCTAGTGAAAGAAAACCCATCTAAAAATGGTTCACCAAAGAAATGGTTACACATTTATAAAACCTTATAATTAGTTTTTTAAATTTTTCTCAGATATTAGCTCAGAAATTATTTTTAAAGCGATTCTTCCCACCACCTACTCCACCCACTTATCATTCTTCGTTTTCTTCAGTAAGGTTTCTTCTGAAGTTCACCTGACCAGCCAATTAACTAATTAACCTTTGACCCCATCTAAGCCCGCCCCTTGCAACAAAATCAATAAGTGGATGTGGGCGCTCGACACGCCCCGAACATGAGTGAAGCTCAATTTAAAAGCCATTTCGCTTTGTCGCCGCCGACAAATTGCCGACATTTGCTATAAAAACCTTTTTGAAGGGGGCTACGAATCGCTGTTTGTTGTATGCTAAAAGTTTTTGTGGCACAGTCGATAAATCTGCTGCCTGAAAAGGCAACATCGCGTCGGCCAACTACTTTAAAATAATTAATGGGTGCGGCCCAGCAACCGAAGTTAGCCAAGTTTCGCTGCTGACAATTGGCTAAATTATGGGGTCGCAATGCAATTCCCATAGTTGGAGGGGGATTTCGGGGGAACTACAGGAGCGGAGGGGTTCCGAAGTCTAGGATCGCTGACACCTGTCCCCCGACCATTGTATCGATGTGGCACTGTGAATGTTGTTCGTTGAGCCCAAATCAAAACAACAACAGCTG